TTCAGGGAAGGGATATGCAGTAGTGATACAGTGATGTCACTAGAGAAACAGAGGTGGATGTTTCTTAACTTTGGGGCTTTCATTTCTTATAGATTCCCTGTTAAGTTTGTTGTGCTCTCATAATTTAGAGGTTTGCCACAACATTTTGATGGCTTGGCTTTGGGAAGTTTAGGAACTGCAACAAAAAAAAAAGTTGAAATTATATGCAGCTCACAGGATATGAGTTGCCTACCCCTGGATTCAACTCTGTTGCACGGGGAACAGACTAAGAGATTTAATTAAGCCAGACATCAGATACTGAGGAAGGAGGAAGGCAAGGAGAGACTCACAACTGGTAAAGGATGGTAGTTTTTCCAGCATTGTCCAATCCAATAATTATCACCTTATGCTCTAGAAGAAGACAAAATACAATAGTATGTCAGAGTTATCTTGGAAAAATATAATTATTATTTCTTTAATTCACTCATAAACTGAATTATTACTGCAACAATGCAATTGAGGAATAGCCTGATGAATAACATTTGCCCAAGACTACCAAGTGAACACATAAAGCTCACTTCAACATATGAAGCTCATATTTTCATCCATACCTCGAATCATATGGGTGCAATTCACATACCTTCTGCTCCCTACTCCTCCTGAAATCCTTTGGTTGGCCTGTGGATTTGCTAGAGATTCCTGAGTAATGTAGGAGTAATTATTTGGCCAAGAACTTCTGCCATGCATTATGAACCCATTATTTCCAGGCATGCTTATACCAAAACATCAGTATTCCTGCTAGTCTGAGACCCCAGCTCCAATTAAGTTGATGTAATAACAGCCTAATATTTTTATCCTACCCTACATCATACCCCCACCAGAGCAGTTTTCATTGGAGAGTACATCAAACATCCCCAATACAGATGTCCTGGAAGAACAACTCCCTTGCTAGAGGCTCTAAACTAAAGTTCAGAGATTTAGGACTCTTGGAATCTGCAAATCCAGAGTCAAATATCCACGTGACCAAGAGTCCCATGTCTTATTTGGATACTGCCTAGATCTAAGCAGGTGAAGGTTCAAAGTCAGAGCATTGGCAAGTGTAGAACGTATTAACTGCAGAGAAAGTCTCCTTGATATCCATGTCCTTCCTTGTACCTAATCCCTTTTTGTAATCTCTGATTACTCAACCCAGTGTTGGATATTGTAAGATTCAAAGGTGGGAGCAGAGAGCTTATTTGGTGTGGTGGTTAAGACACCGGGCTAGAAACCGGGAGCCCATGAGTTCTAGTCCTGCCTTAGACCCAAAGCCAGCTGGGTGACCTTGGGCCAGTCACTCTCTCAACCCCTAGGAAGAAATGGCAAACCACTTCAAAACTCTTGCCAAGAAAACTGCAGGGACTAGTCCAGGCAGTTGCTAGGAGTCAAGACTGACTTGAAGGCATTGAAAAAAAAAGAAGAAGAAGAAAAGGTAGGAGCACCAAAGCTTTCCGTTCACAGACCAGTGCTGGAGCAACATTTGTATCAGTTGCTGTTTCTTGATTGTCTAATTCAGGGTTCCTCAACCTTGGCAACTTTAAGACGGGTGGAGGGCAACTCCCAGAGTTGGCTGGGGAATTCCCTTGCTGGCTGGGGAATTCTGGAAGTTGAAGTCCACCCGTCTTAAAGTTGCCAAGGTTGAGGAACCCTGGTCTAATTCTTCCTCTTGGCCCACTTAATTCTTGGACTATATTTCATGCTTACGACCTCCTATAGCCTTTTAAGTTTATATTCAGTTTATTGTTTGAGTTGCTTAAATTTTTGTACAGAAATTGATTGGAAAATGTTATATTCATATTATACTATACAAATTTTAAGACTTCCTAAAATCTTACATTTCAAAGCAGCTAATTACTTCCTCCCAGTCCTGTCAGCT